TCGGGTGTTGAGTCTAGCCTAGGAATTGTATTTAGGACTTTGCATATAGATTTAATGATGTTCTTGTGGTTCCGGATGTTCCTGAACCGTTATATGATTTATGTTGAGTCTTGGCATGTTCAGGGATCGTGTTAGAATGTATTCGGTATGATTCTTGATTTAATCCCGTTAATTGAATCTGTGTGTTGTCGTTATGTGTTTGGACATGGTTTTGGGTTCCACGAGTGATCCCGGGACCGAAAATTTGTATATGTACCAGTGGGGGGTAGGTGGGGGGATGACCTCCCACCACCTACCCGCTGCCCGGCGAGTCCAATCCCTACGCCCGCCGGCGGGTGGGTGGCTGGTGGTCCTCCACCCGCCACCCGCCCGCTGGAAAGATGATGTGCGTCGTGATGTTTTCCCCCGTTTGATGTTGCCTCGTGTCCCGTTGTACCCCGTTTGTCGTGTATGAGTCTCGTTTGGTGTTTTTGAATACCGTTCTAGGGATTTATGTGTAGTACGTGTCATTTTTGTTATGTCTTGATTGTTATTGATTGATTATGTGTTGATTGATTGAATGATGATGAGTATCGTGGTCATCGCGCAATGATCGGTGTGACTGATAAGGATGAGATTGTGATTGGTGGAAATGAATTGTTGGCGGTTAGCACCACTTGTGCCCGGTCATTGTACTAAAGGTACAGGCCTAGCGGTTACTGTGCTAAAGGCACAAACCCACCTTTGACTTGCTTGTCGTTGAGCATGGGCCAAGTTATAAGTGCTACGGTGTCATGTCAGGGCTATATGCGCTGACCCCTTGGTATTGGCACTAGAGATGCAGATTATGCTAATGACACTGCGGCGCTATCTTGTCAGTGGGGGCATGTAGTTGCCTGGAGGAATAAGGGAGGCGATATAAGGGTGGCATGGAGGTATAGGTTGGAACTGATATAAGGACGGAGAGGAGCTACAAGGTTGTAACTTGGTATAAGGTTGGATGATGGATTGTGTGACTTGATAATTACTTGCTAATTGATTGCCTGGGATTCCTTTGTTGTCTCTGTTTGCTATTTATATGCATATCTGTCTATTATGCCTTGTATTGCGTTCTTAGGATGCATGTTAGTCTTTATGATTATTCTATACTGTTGAGTCTGTTGTTGTGTCCTGATTCTTGATCTTGGATTTAAATTAGCGTCTCGTAAGTATATATGTATTCCAGTTTCAAAATGATTTCTTATATCTACCTATATTATACTTAACGCGTTGGAGTGGGTTACCAGCATTATTCACTGACGGTTGTTACACGTAATGTTTTTCAGGACCAATTGGGTAGCTTCAGAGCGCGCTAGTCGGATTCGTGGACTTAGTTTAGATAGTTCCAGCCATGATGAGATGGCCTGCGTGCCTTGGTTTACATTTGAATATTTATGGTGGTTTATGACTTTATGCTTTGTAAGATAGTTTAGCCTGTGCATCTGAGTTCTCTATCTCAAATGTGGCATAGCACCCCAACTATTATGTTTAGTTTGTGCTCTGTTTGGGAATTTATAATAGATTTGTCTTTATTCCATAAGTTTTAAATGTTTTGAAATTTAGGGGTGTTACACCTGGGACTAAGCGTAGCCTGTACCCATCCTCCCGAGCGCTCGTCAGACCTACGGGCTAGGGGGGCTACTTGATAGGGATATGCCCTCGGGCTAGTAGCTCTATAAATTTAATGTGCTTTACAGTCATTCTAATTTTGATTTCCAGTGCACTAGAATTATTTTCGAGTACTGGAATATATTTCGAGTGCACTAGCAATGACAATATAGTACTTGACACTTGTTCTTCTAATATCAACTATACAGATAGATGATTATTTATCTTGTCAATAAAAATATTCAAAGTGAACCAACTGAAGAGTCGGTAGTGCAAAAAAATTAACTGATGCTTGGTAATTAGTACTTAGTATTGTGTTTGAACTTTGGATTGCTATTTTGTTATATAATGTTTAGAGTTTGGATTTGGATTATGTGAATATGTATTGTTTGGTAGTATGTTCAAGAAATTAAGAAATGCTGAAATTTGGGGGTCGTAAATCGAACCGAATTAAATCCGAACCGTTTCAAACCGAATCCGAACCAAACTCTAATGTTAAACTGAATGGTTTAACTTTTTTAAACCAAAACCGAAAAAAACCGAACTGAAACTCGAAATGCCCACCCCTAAGTGAAATATGAAAGTAAGTTAAGTGGGTGTGGGGGGCCCTTAGGGTTGGGGTTCAACCTTTTGGAAGAATGAAAGTAAGTTAAGTCATATTTTTAATTAGTTAATTACGCTTTAATCAAAATAAATAAAAATATAAAAAATGTTATAATTCAAATAATACTACCGTCTCTTCATTCATAAAATATAATAGTCTGCATGGGCAGCTTAACTGGTCATAGAGGTGAAAGTTGGAAAAAATGACCAGAGATTGAGTCTCACCAGTGACAGTGTGGGGGACCCTTAGGGTTGGGGTTCCACCTTTTGGAAAGAATAAAATATAAATAATAACTAAGTAACTAAATAGGGTTAATTACCAAAATGGTCCGGGGTTCCACCTTTTGGAAAGAATAAAATATAAATAATAACTAAGTAACTAAATAGGGTTAATTACCAAAATGGTCCTTGTATCGAACTGGATAACTAAATTTTGGTTAATTACCAAAATGATCCTTAATTGTATCGAACTGGATAACTAAAATTTTGTGTTGTTTACTTTCTGTTCTTTAAATTCCGCATTGTGTTCGTATCTGTTGTATTATCTGGTAGAGTCACCCCGGCTATGTTTTTCATAATAGCAACAACGAACTGTTTTTAGGTATGATAGTTTATCAGTCGTTGTCGATTATCAAAACACAACAAATCACAATCTTCATTACAATAATCTATTCTATATTTATACATGAAGGCAGGCAGGCCGAAATATCAATAAACAAACTAACAGACCAAAGGAGTGAAACTGGGACGTTCGTTCGGGTTATAACATCAGCTGCCGGATAGTTCTGCCGCCGGCCTCTACCAATCTGCAGCTTTCTTTGTCCATCATCTTCCTTATTATGGTTGATGAAATTATAAATAGGAAGGAATGCATCCCCTTGTGGATGGAAAGAAACGCACTTCCCCTTCTCTGTTTCTATGTATTTCAGCTACACAAATTATCTTCTGCAAAGGATGGACTTCTACATACACCTCCAATACTTCTCCCATCATTGTTGGAACCTCAAAAGGAATAGAATCATATAACCCAGTGGCTTCAATGTTAAAATATTTGGGTTCCTTTAGAATCCAAGCACCACTGCTTTTACTTCTCACACTCAAAACAATTCTATTACGACCATGATCAGCATAATCAATTTCACTGGGATCAATCACATTGGGCATGATTTCGACGTTTTCATACGTTGAAGGAAAATAGCAAAATATACCCACAACGTTCACATCAACCACAATCTCGAAACTATCACCTTTAGAGCGTCCCTACATTATGGAATACATACATTCAATATAACAATTAATAATACCATAACCATTACCATCCATCTATTCTAATATAATATCTCAGATGAAGGGAATATATATATATATATATATATATATATATATATATATATATATAACTAACCTTGAACCACTTTTCAATCCAAGGAATCCTCAAACCACTGCAATTTGCTATCTGAAGACTACTTAATGATGAAAGACTCTCCAAGCCTGAAAGCTCAACCATTCTTTTGCAGTTCTGGATATTTAGGGTTCTGAGACTTTTCAAGTTGGATAGATCTGGTATCTTTTCTAATGAGACACAATTCTTTGCAGAGAGTCTCACCAATTTAGGAGGAAGTTGTGGAAGTGATCTAAGATTCTGCCAATCGTCCAAGGAGAGATTTATCAAATTAGAATATTGATGGCAAAGGCTTAATGGTAAACTTTGAAGATAATATCTTTCCATTAAATCTATTTCTTTCAACGAGGTGGACAAACTCCTAAGAGCAATTGGAACATCGTCATCTACTTGATGCAAATAGTCACGAGCTGGAATAGTTAGAGCATTGCAATTTCTTATGTCAAGCTCTACTAAGGATGAAAGACTCTCCATGTTCGGAAGCTCAACCAAACTTTTGCAATTACCAATACTCAACACATTAAGTCTCTTCAAGTTTGATACAACTGCTATTTTTTCCAATGAAACACAATTTTCTGAAGAGAGACTCTCCAAACTAGGAGGAAGTTCTGGAAGTATTCTCAGATTTTGCAAATTGTTCAAGTAGAGACATTTCAAGTTTGAAAGATGAAAAAGGCGGAAGGGTAACCTCTGAAGATAACAACACCTTCCTGATAAATTTAAAGCTTCCAATGAGGCCAAATTCTCAATAACTTCCAAGGAGCACAAATTTGCAACTGAAGGTGGCAAAAAACCAACACCATCATGACTGCTTCTTGACAAAAATAGAGGTGACAAAATGTCAATAAGTTGGGATTTTGATTTTGATAGTACACAACTCTTGTCCAACCCCAGATCCAGTTTCTTTAAATTTCTCAAACATCCCAAAGAAAATGGTATATGTGAGATGGCAGTTCGATCAACAAGTAAATATCTTAGTTGCTCTAATTTTCCCAAGTCAGTTGGAAGCTCCATCAGTTTTTCACAATAAGTTAAACATAAAGCTTCAAGTGATTTTAACTTGCAAATGCTACTTGGAAGAACCTTGAGTTTCTTGCAACTAAAGAAATTTAACTGAACTAGTCTCTCCAAACTTCCAATTGATTGATGTACCTTGACCAAATTTGAACAACCTTCAAAGGATACTTTTTCAAGAGTATGTGCTCCAGTGAAGTTTGGTGTATTCTTAAGTTGTTTACAGTAATCAAGCTTTAAGATCTTCAAACATCTAAAATGCTGTTGAAAAAAATTAGAAAAAGGTTTAATAAATTTCTATTTTTCTAGTCAAAGTTCTTAATCAAGAAATATATATGCAATGTTGAAAGAAACATTAGACATACTAACCTGCATATTGCATTGGAATTCTTTGATATTGCTACCTTTCATGTCTAACTCAACAAGTTTCTCACAACGAAAATTAGATGGTATGCAACTCAAATAGCAATTGTGTAATCTAAAAAACCTATGCTCATTGGATAAATATTTAAAGGATCCGTTGAGACGCATACCATCCAATATGAGTAGTCGTAACTTTACCATCCTTTTGAATACTTGAGTACTCAAAGGCACATTTTTTAACATGTTAGAATTTACAATAATCCCTTCAATTGCTTCTGTGCCCTATTAAAAAAAAAACAGTTATATAGCAATATTTTATATTTTAGATATTTTGAAATCTTTGATTTTAATAAAGTTAAGTATAGAACGGAAATGAATTAACTAGAATAACTCAAATACAAAGGAAATGTTTTACCTTGTTCCCGTGAAGAACATCAAAGACATCCTTTGGGTCAATCAATCTACTTTGTTTGCCCGGCTCTAGTGGAGATTACTTTCGAACAATTTCTCTTCCCATATCTCGTACTAAATCATGCATCAGAAGCCTTTCAAACTTTCCATCCCCATTTGTTGTCAACAAGCATCTTTCAATCAAAATTCTTATTCCACTTTTTGCATAAAAACCACAAGCTTCCAATATCATACAAGTGTCATTTTTGTTATGCCCAATAAAAAAACAAGCAATATCAAGAAAGATATTCCGAGTATCATCATCAAGTGAATCATAACTTATTTTAAGAATTTTTTGAACATCATCATGAGGTATGTCTCTTAATTTCTCTGCATCATCACTCCATTCTTGCACTGATTTGCCACGCAAATGAGAACCTATAATTGTAAGTGCTAGTGGAAGTCCACCAGTATAACTTGCTATCATTTTGGATAGTTCAATATACTCCTCTAATGGTATAGGAACACCAAAAGCATGCCAACTCAAGAGTTGCAAAGATTCAACACGGCTTAACGTTTCTACCATGTATTTCTCGTGTGCTTCCATGCCACTCAACAATTGAACATCTCTAGTTGTTATTATAATTGTGCTCCCTGAACCAAACCAATTCCGTTGTCCTGCTAATGATTCTAGTTGACTAGTATGGTCTATGTCATCAAGGATAATTAGAACCCTTTTTGATCGCAGCCTTTCTTTGATCAAATTTATTCCTTCATCAACATTATCTATTTTAAGTTTCTTTCGGTGGAGTGTTTTACAAAGAAGTTTTTCTTGCAAACCAACTAAACCATTGTGCCCCCCGGAAACTTGTGATCTAATGTTTGCAATAAAACAACAACCTTCAAATCTTTGAAAACTCAAGTTGTAAATGGCATTAGCAAGGGTTGTTTTTCCCACACCACCCATGCCAAAAATTCCAAACATCTTGATATCATCATGTCTTCGAGATTGCAATAAATGAAGTATATCTCTAACACGAGATTGAATTCCAACAGGATACTTTGCAACATTCATATATGTACGGTTCACTTCCCGTAATACCTCTTCAGTAATTTTTTTGATGAACTTTGATTCATACCTATCACATTTTTCCAATGAATGTCAATCTAAATCATTAAAGAAAATATAGGTGGAAACATAAAATAAAATTGAGCACTTGTTACTTTTAGTCTCTCATGATTCCATTGTTTGAGTTAATAACTTTCTTATAATATTTTTATAAGTTAATACCCAAAATGGTCCTCCGACTATTAGCTAATACTCGATTTTGTCCCAAAGTATTAAGTATTTAAGCGTACTCAATTTAGTACTCTTACTTTCTAAACTGTACCCAATGTGGTCTTCCGTTACCAATCCCTTCCCACCACCGTTAAAGTGAGGACAAAAACGTCATTTCTTCTACCTAGAGTCCAAAACCGGCCGCCTCTCTCTTTCTCGATGATCGGACGGAGGTTTGAAAAGAACCTGAGTGAGGAGACGGTGGAAGCGGCGAGATTGGATCCGGCGTTTTAGCGGTAGATCCGTAGGCTCGCGGCAGAATCTGATATTGACGCCGTGGCTACTCGAATTTCAGCATTTACTGCTGAGGTGGAGGAGATTTTGTATTTTCTTTTGGCTTCTCAGAGATTAATAATAGGTGTAGTCTAGTCGTGGAGAAGATGATTTCGTAATTTTGCGTATAATTGATGAAACACAGTGGAGAACCGAAGCCGCAACCCCACAGTCAACAAACACAAAATCAAATGACGTTTTTGTCCCTCACTATAACGGTCGTTAGATGCAGTTTAAAAAGTAAGAGAACTAAATTGAGTACACTTAATACTTTGAGACAAAATTCAGTATTAGCTAATAGTTGGAGGACTATTTTGGGTATTAACTCTATTTTATCAACGGATAAAATCAATCCATAATTATAATTTCTAAAAGGAATTAATATTTATGTCGACAAATAAATTGAAATGCACAGTGCAGATTCTTCTTATTTTACCAAAAATATTAATCCATCCGTAAAGAAGCTAGAACGCAATTATTAATTAGCAATTATTAATATTATTGACAATATGAGTTAGTGAGCCAAATTGTGACAAATATATCACAAATAATAATAATAATAATAATAATAATAATAATAATAATAATAATAATAATAAATAAATAAATAAAAATTGAAAAGAAGATTACCCGTTTGTCATGGTTTGCAAATCCCATCCAGACAAATCAGCAACAGTTGTGAGTGCAACTTTCCATTCATCAACTTTTTTATCATCAAATCGTTGTCGATGTTGAGCTAATGCCTTACTAAATTCGCCTGTTTGTTTACGAACCTCTGAAGGATCAACGTTGTAGAATATAGGCAGAACCATCTGTTGAAAATTTTTCTTACAGTTTAGAATCTTCACGAGTTCATCAAGGCACCATCTGGATTGGGCATAAGTTTTGGAAAATACGATGATGGATATCTTGGACGCCTCGATGGCCTTCAATATCTCATCAGAGATGTTCTCACCTTTTCGGATTTCTTCATCGTCCCGAAAGGTGTTAATTCCAGCCTGACACAAATCTTCATAGAGATGATCAGTAAAAGATTTTCGTGTCTCTCCTCTAAAACTCAAGAAAACATCATACACCCCAGTAGTAGTCAATGAAGATGAAGAAGAAGAAGAAGCCATATTTGAAATTGAGAACACTATCTTCTATCTTGATTTGCTAGTTTCGGAAGATTTAAAGAGCTTGATAAATGCGCGTGTAGAAAGACGATACTGTAATGGAAATTTCTTAGACAATCCAACGTAAGATTGCTATATGTACACTTCCATATATTTGATTGACTTGGTCTTCTAAATAATTCTCATGTAATGAAATTAAACCATCCACATAATATGTTATGATATTGTATCCTTTTCCTTGACCCCACCTATACTTTAAATATAAATTTCATTTTTATGTTATTATTTTTTATTTTTCTAAAGAATTAAAAGTTTCCAAAAACAAAAACGTCCTTATAATGTTGCAACCAGATCTTCGTTCATAGGCTTGGTCATTTTAATATAGCATATAATTTATCTGTATTAATAAATTAAAATTAAATTACACTGGAAAAATACAATAATATGCAATATAATTGGCATTATCACCCCCAATAAAACTCACTGTGAAGTAGTGGGTAGGGCTCGTACTAAAAAGAATTTCAACCACAAATCAATTAATAAACTGCAATGATGAAGAAGGTTGTTTGACCTTTCCGCACAACAATCCAATCGAACAGACACGAATGTCATATGTACAATTGACAAATTATGTTCTGCAATCGTGTGCACCATACATTGTGCACACTATTGCAAAACAGTGTCGTTCCAAATTTTTTTTTTTAAAATAAATCTTTTTCATTGCTGTTAACGGCGTTAGACGGTTTCCTTCCGCATTCAAACATTTCATTCTCTCTTCGCAATCGCACAGTTTATAAATTATGAATCTACAGTATTAGATTTGTGAACATGTGATAGAGCTATATGTTCATAATTTTATAAATATATGTTTATAATTATAGAGCTATATGTTCATAATTTTTGATATTCATATTCCCAATTGTTGAACTTTGTATTCACAAATCACATAACTATATGTTCATAATTTGATAACTATACAGTTTAGAAATTATGAATCTACAGTACATAAATTATGAATCTATAGTATAGATATTATGAATCTGCAGTATAGAAATTATGAATCTAATGTATAGAAATTAAGAATCTACTGTATTTAAATTATGAATCTACGGTTTAAAAATTATGAATCTACAGTATAAAAATTATGAACCTACAGTATAGAAATTATGAATTGAAACCGTGCGCACCTTCCATGATGCACACGGTTACACAGCATAACGTTCCTGTACAATTTGAACCCCTACTAATATGCATTATTTTTATTTTATGTGAGATGGTTCTTTATTTAACAATGTTGTAAAAATTGCTTGCAGCCAATCAGGCTTTTGATGGGCACCTAATTAAGCTAGTAAATTAAAGCCACGCAATACTATAGACCAAGGTCCAACTTGTAAGGTAAACCACTAACATAAAATTCTTTTTTAATGTACTAAAAATATATTTTTAATATATTAAACGTTTATTTTTGAAAGTACATTATTCGAATATTGAACATTATTTGGTACACTTTAAATAATGAACTTTTAGTATACAAATAATCTATCTTTAGTATATTAAAAAAGAACATTTATTCACCGTCCACAAAAAAATATTATATTTTTATTTCAAGATAATGATATAATTTATATTTAATAGCTCCATGATAAACAATACAATAATTAATATTATCTTCTCCTAATCTCCAACTAATCCAATCTCTAGACAAAAATGTCAACATCAAATTAATTAAACAAATGTAATATCTTAAACATTTCAAATTTACACACACATTCTTACTTTTAAAGTAAAAAAGTTTGTCACTCTGATATAAATTATATTTTTTTATTACGAGATAATAATATTATTTATATTTAATATCAACAAAACTATATATGAAAAATCCTCTATGATAAACAATACAATAATTAACATTATCTCCTCCACTAACCACTTTCCAGACAACAAATTTCAGCGTCAAAATGAGAAAAATTCTAGCCAACCTTTAGCCTTCAGGCACAACAATTTAAGTAATAAGAGATTGTCCTAATACATAGCTCAATTGGTCAATTAACTCAAAAATAAGTTGAGAAGCTTTATTTTACTTAACATGGTACATAGACCAATTAAGACACATTTCGTAATTTATCCACTGCTGGAAATTATGAAATTTCCGACCACCTAAAAGTGATCTTAAATCAAGTCGAAAGTAAAAAGTGGTCGAAAATAGCAACAAAGGTTTTTCCGGATACCAAAAGTGGTCGGAACAAAGCTTTCAACTTGATTTAAGATCACTTTCAAGTGGTCGGAAATTTCATAATTTGCAGTCGTGATCTCATCCACTAGTCTCTAGAACAAGAGAGAAGAAAAGAAAATCTTGATGGGCTGACCTTCAGACAACAATCCAATCGAAGGGACAAGAAGCGGATTATACGAATTATTTAAAAAGTAATTAAAAAAAAAAAACTCAAAGTTAAACCCTTGTAATTATGAGCAATTTTATCAAATTTGATGACGTATTCAGTCCATTAACAAAAAATTACATTATTGGATAAACAATTTTTAAGTGCTTTCATAATATATAGGAATGCATAAGAAAGTGTATGGTATACATGCCTGAAATTCTTAACTTTGATTTTCCCCAACAATCCTCAATAACCTACAAACAAAATCTCGGCTATTGAACTTTCTTTCGAGCATTAATATCACACACTGAAACAATCATGGTAATGTGAAAATAAAAACACATGATAAATTCAACACCACTGAGAAATAATATAGCCACCAAGAACACAACAAATTATATATACCATAGACTAGAGTCCACTTACATTTTAACTCTGGTCCAAAACATATTATATACATATAAAAATCACTCTTAATTGCTTGATGAAATTAAATTATACCTGTCGACAAAAAAAAAAAAAAAAAAAAAACAAAAAAAAAAACAAAACAAAACAAAAAAAAAAAAACAAAAAACAAAAAAACAAAAAAAACAAAAAAAAAAAAACAAAACAAAACAAACGCACCTTGTGGATGGAAAGAAACGCACTTCCCTTTTCTGTGTCTATGTATTTCAGCTACACAAATTATCTTCTGCAAACGATGGACTTCTACATACACCTCAAATACTTCTCCCATCATTGTTGGAACCTCAAAAGCAGTGGCGGATCCAGGAATTTTCCCCAGTGGGGGCGACACATTAAAATAAATAGATAGTTTGAAGAAAAAAAAAATAAAACACGTAAGAAGTATAGCTATAAATATTGTTAGATATGAACGAAAAATAAAACACATCAAAACTTTATAAAACTATTCATAACAAATATGAAACATAATTAATTTGATAAAATAATTCGAATAAAAAATACATTATAAATCGCACATCTCATTATTAATAATAAAAAAAGATTATATGTGTGTGTCTAAAAAATCTCACCATCCTATATATAATAAAGTCATATGGTCTTGTGAAAATTAAATGGTGATAATCAATATTTAATTTTCACAAGACCATAATAATATTGTTAATTATAATAACAATAACAATAATAATAATAATTGCAATAATAATAATGATAATAATTTCCACTGACAGTTTCTAATATATATATATATATATATATATATATATATATATATATATATATATATATATATATATATTATTGTGTGAACGATGGTCCACATAATTGTATGGATCATGAATATTAAATACATTTTTAATATATTAAAAATACATTATTTTTATATTGAAAGTACCTTACATACATTATAATGTACCCTTAGTATATTTAAAATATACTTTTTATTGCATGCAACACCAAAGTTCATAAGTTTGAAATTAATATATGGCATAGCTAGGCGGCCTAATATTTAAGATTGTTGATGTGCATATTGAGGACTACGGAGACAAAGATGTGTTATTCGTGGATTCATCGGATACTATCCAACAACACTCTCCAACTTAATTGACGTGAAGTAGGCTTAGTAACATTAAGATTATATTCTCAAATTATTTGTTCTCATCTTTTATTGATTACACACTTAATTCGATAGTATTTGGAAGAAAAAATCAATGTTTGAACTAAGATTGTGATTTTGGTCTTTAAAGGTCAATTGTATGTTGCTACATCTAGAGTTAGAAATCTCAAAGGTCTAAAAATTTTGATCCGTGGTGACTCTAAAATTGTAATTCAATTACTATTTTAGTTTACTAAGTTCTTAAAAATTTGTAATATTAAATACTATGTACTTAATTTTTAATATAGTTTAAGATTGTAGTAATCACCCACCTTAATTGTAAATATATTTATGTTCATAATTTTATCATAGGAATTCACACATAATAATTATTAAATAACAAAAATTTTATATATGAATAAACCTCATATAGGGTATATTTTTATAACATATTTTCCGTGCATCGCACGAGACAAATACTAGTTAATTAATATTTAAACATCATAAAGAAACTCTTATAAAAAAAAATCATAAAGAAACTGTGTTTGTATTGAAGCAATAATAATAGTGAGAAAAAACAAAGTTATGTTGAAAGTTGAAACCACATTAATATTTTGCCTAAAAAATAATGAATGGGAAAGCAGGGCGTGTGTTGTGGGGTTCCCTTTCTTAAGATAGACCACGCCATTGCCAACTGAACTAATGCCTCTATTGTTACCATTATCAATTTTCTTTTACTTATTATAAATTTTGTACTATATATACATATATACATACAAGGATTATATGGTGGGGGGTGGAGTGAGTGGGGGCAGCTGCCCCCACTGCCCCCATTGAAGGTCCGCCCCTGCTCAAAAGGAATAGAAACATACCCATTGGCTCCAATAATGTTAATATATTTCCGTTCCTTTAGAATCCAAGCACCATTGCTTTTACTTGTCACACTCAAACCAATTCTATTAAGACCATCATCGATCAATTCCACTGGGATCAATCACATTGTGCCTGAATATTAGACGGAATTGACACGTCTTAAGAAAATAGCATAATATCCCCCACTACTCAGTTGAACCGGCAATCTCGA